CTATGCTATTTATAATACACAAATCATTTACCTAGTTACAATCAAATACTACCAAAAATAGGCTTCCCAATATCTTTCCCAATATCTCTTTGATTGCTTCTCCAAATTCCACAAGGATTTGACCAAACTTCCTCCTTTAAGCTTTGACTGGTTGATTGCCTTCTAAGACAATCTTCTTTGTCTCCAATTAACCCTTGTCGTACATCTTAATGGTTTTTGAGTCCAATTTGACAACTTTTGTCCAATTCCTCTAATTAGGGACCAACTACACAATTCTCACAAAATACATTAAACCCAACAATTTAATCCAAGAAAATCAATAAATAAATAAGCAAAGGAGGCATAAAGTAAATGTAAAATATGGACTTATCACGAACCCTTCTATTTGATTTAATTAAGGTGATTCATCTCGTCTTCCCCAACCCCCAACCCAACCTCCCCCCATACCCACCACCTAGATCCACCAGTGCAGGGCAGTGGGTGGATGTCAGATTCAAACAGAGTACATCAAGGCCAAGTGGCTGTCTCCTCACACAATCTCTGTGGTTGAGATTGAGTTGGACGAGTCGGTATTTGAGCTGTCAAAGAGTTTGGGTGAGGAAGAGAAGATGATAGTGGCGAAGGAATGAAAACCGCCAGAGTTGAAGCCCAAGAGATCTCAGACTGGGGTTAAGATTTTGATCTCAAACTGGTATGGCTTCTGTCATGGAAAATGAGCCATAAAAAATTTGATTTAGTTTTTTAAAATTTTTTGGGATATTTATCTCGATTTTATTTTATTTTATTATTATTATTATTATTATTATTTTTTTACAGTTTTAGATGAACTGAAAGATAGTATTATATGCACCACTTTGGCCAGCACTTTACCCCTTACGGGCCGACCCGGTGTGAGCGGGGATTAGTCTGGGTTGTGGTTAAGGCTTAAAGGTGCCACCCATAGTTGGGGCCCATCCAGGACCACCTCGTGGTTCAAACCAAAAAAAAAAGATAGTATTATATGCATGTATATGCGTATATGGTAGCATAACCGTTTGATCCCTTCTATGTTTTTTAGGTCGGATTTTTTGGTTTTAAAGTATTATTTTTGTTTTTAATAGTTAAATTAAGTTTTTTAGAAGATAATTTTTAATTTTTAATTTTTTTCTTCACACGTGGCACTTAGTTTAGCAAAATAGTGGGTCCTATTAGTGCTACATCAGCATTTTTAACATAATTTTTAATAGACTTGACGGTGAGGGGCAAAGTGAAACACAAAACATCGATCAAGGGGCCAAAGTGGGTCACTTTAACTTTAAAGGGGATAAGTGGGAATTGACCAATATTTCAGGGGGCACTGTAGCAGTTAAGCCTTTTATATATGGGTAAATTCGTCTTTAAAATTTTTAAAGATAAAGTGCGTGAGAAAATAAGACAGGTGAGTGGAAATAGCAGCACTTAATGAAATTTACCCTTAATTATAATAAGAAGTTGTCTCTGTTGGAAATGACTACGATGGTTTGTTTCTAGATTATTGTTTGGGTCTTATATAAACCCAACAGTTCCCTCCTTGAAGATAAGTTCTAACCTGTGGAAAAACAAAGAGTATTTCCCCAATGCTAGTTACTCAGTTGATCAATTCCGAGTCTAGTCAAGAGAGTACAAATATATAATTTGTTCGCTAGAGTTTTAAATTAAAGTGTTTCAATTTAGCATTATTATCAATTGTTAAATCTTGGGAGATGGACACCTGTTGAACTGCAAGCACAAGGGCAGGAGCAAAATATGTGTTTAGGACATTGCAATTCTTGCAAGCCTCAATCGCTAATGTTGTCAGTATGTCTACACATTTATGTTTGTTAGTTTATATGAGTTCTATGTGTGTTTGCTATCATATTTGATGCTTATAATTTTGTTGAGAATTATTATCTTTAAATTCATATTTCCTATTGTTCCACCAACACTAAGTGCACCACAACAGTAACTACAGGTATTTAAGCACTAGGTGACACTATGTTTTGAGTCTGTACGAATTTTTGTAAGGGAAAATTGCAAGAAGAGTTGTGGGATTAGACCATAGATAAGGAGTCCTCTTTATTTTACCTAATCCAATCAAGATTTGGTGGGAGGAGTACAACAGTGGGGAGGAATAAGAGCATCCACAATGAGCTCCATAAACCACCTTCTTAGCTAAAATTTGGGGAGGAATTGAAAAACTCACCTCCAACTATGCTCCCTATCTAGCTCCTAAAATAGGGAGATATTTAGGAGCTCCTAAATCTGAGGAGAGAGAAATAACTTCTAGTGACTCTCTATAATTAAATTCTTCTATATTTAATATTATTTTAAACATTTATTTAATGCTAACTATTTTTTATTGTTGTTTTCGTGTACACTTTATTCAAAACTTGAATTAAAAAATATTAAAAAGATTTACTATTATTTAAACTAGGGAGTATGGTTGAAGTTGAAATTTTTTATAGAGCTCTTAAAATAGCTTTCTAGTGTTTTTAGCTAAATTTTAACTAAAAAAATAGAGAGCATGATTGTGGATGCTCTAAATTGACTATATTACAAAAAGATAAAATGAGTAGTTATTCAATAAAAATAGGACTCATTATCAGATTTTATTTTTAATTCTAATTTTTTAATATAAAAATACAAATTGGCCATATTATCCTCATTTAATTAATAATTTTAATTTTTAATATTTGCATTAACCAATGACATTTTTGTTTTGGTGTTTTGAATGTTTCACCATTCTCTACCTTACTTTATATATGCTAGCCT